ATAGCAAACAGTTGAGCTGGTTGCTTTAGGGGGCCTCCAGACACAGCAAGAGTAGAAGTTTAGAGACAAGGAAGTCAGGAGAGGATGCACCTAGAGATCCAGTGTGACATGAGGGACCCAGGGGTCCTGATGGGACACCCTGCTCCCCAGTACTCCCAGAGACCCAACTAGGGAATTTGTGTCCTCATTCCTGCAACTTTAGGTTCTGGGTCTCAGAGGAGGGTAATTTCACCAGGAGCACAGTAAGAATGGCACAAGATATAAACCAGGACATCTGCCCGGCCACTCTGAGCTCTTTATGCCACCAAGCAAAGGGGTACCCCTACAGGCAGGGGTACTGGATCCAGATCCCGGGAACAAGGATGTTTGATATTCCCACCCACTGGATGTCCTGTGGTGCTCCCTTGCCCAGATGTCACTGTGAATGGGCCATGACAGCCAGCACAGCCTGAGGAGGGGATGGGACCCAGGGGCTCATGTCCCCAGGGAGGAGCATCTGGGCCAACCCATCAGGGTCCAACCCATCAGGCAAGGCACCCAGACCTTCAGAAGTGCTAGGAGTGGGGGATTTAGAAAAGGTGGGGGAAGAAGGAGCAGACGGTGCCCGGTTACAGGCCCGGGACCAACTTAAGCAACAGGGGCCACAGTCCATCCCACTAGCTTTCCTTTCCCATGTACATCCAGAAATTGTGCCCAACCAGAATCTGGGGGATCTGAAAGCAATGGACTTAATGTGGGGCTGAGTGTGGCAGGGGTGGGGTAAGCGTCCCTGGGGTGAGCTGGTGATTTGCCACTGACCCTTTCTCTGGAGCCTGGCTGGATGGGAGCCACCTCCACAAGAGTGGCTATGCCCCCTGACCTCACTGAAGGTGGCCCCGACCCTCCTTGGGCTGGAGAAGAAACAGCCTCCCCCTTAGCATTTCTTCCTCCTCTCCCCTTCCCTCAGGGACTCCCCCCCAAAACTCCCGCCTTCTCCTCCCCCACCCCAACCAGTGATCTGTTCCCCAGATCGGTTGCCGTTTTCAAAGTGTCACATACATGGCCTCAACACAGTACGGAGTCTTCTGAGACCGACTTCTTTCACTCAGTCCAGTCTTCCGAGATGGCTCTGGGCTGCTGCATGTGTCTTTGGCGCCCTGGGCTCTCCCTTGGGGGGTGGACCGTGGCGTGTTGGTCTGCTCAACAGCTGGTGGCCATCCGGGTTGCTTCCAAGCTTTGGTGATGATTAGGAGAACGTCTCTAAACATGCAGGGGCAGCATTTTGTGAGAACAGTAGTTTTCATTTCTCTAGGGCAGCTCCCAGGAACAGAACCGCGCATCCATGCAGCAGGTGTTATAGTTACCTTGTCAGCTGGCTTCTAGGCATGAACGTCTCCTTCTTTCAGAGCGGTCTCTCTCCTCTCTTCACTGTCGGTAGCCGAAGGCAGGCAGGCAGCTGCTTCTGTGGCCCCGCAGGGCGTCTCCTCAGCTGGACCATCTTCCTCACAGGGGACGCATCGTATCTCCCGACCTGCTACGGGTGACAGTGTTGCCATGTTTCTCGCCACTCTGCACCACGGCTCTCCAGTCTCCATCTTCAAGGAAGACTTTTCTCACTTCCCTCTAAGACCCCACTGGCAGTCTCAGTAGAGTCCTGCCAGCTCCCACTCGCTGTCGGGTCCCAAAGCCAAAGCCACTTGACTTAGGGTTCATACCGGCAACATCCCATTCTGGTACCCAAACCCATCTATTATCTAGAGCTACATAACCAACCCCCCTCAAACTTAGTGCTCTGATCACCTACACAGTCACCTCTATTGTTACCTCCCACAGGTGCCAGTCTGGTCTCTCCTGTGGTTGCAGCTGACGACAGCTGGGACAGAAGCCACCCGAAGGTGTCCTTGCTCACCCTGCTGCCTGTTGGCTGGCCCTTCAGCTGGAGCTGCGGGCTGGGACACCTCTGCACATGCCTCTTCCTGTGGGTGCTGGTGGGTCCTCGCAGTGTGCTGGTTGGCTCGAAGAGCAAGCATCACAAGATGAAAGAGAGAGGAGCTGTATCTCCAAGCTGTCTGAGCTGGCCTCGAGCATCAGTGTCACCTGGGACGCCCAGGTGGCTCAGTTGGTTGGGTGTCCAACCCTCGATTTTGGCTCAGGTCATGAGCTCAGCGTTGTGAGATGGAGACCCCGCCTCCCGATCTGTGCTCTGCAGGGAGTCTGCTTGAAATTCTCTCTCTCCCTCTGCCCCTCCCCTCCCCTGCTCATGCTCTCTCTCAATAAATAAATTTAAAAAAATCAGGGTCACTTCTGCTCCATTCTGGAGGTGAGAAGCAAGTCATCAGGACAGGCCATGCTCAAGGGGAAGGGCATTGGATGCCACCTCTCAGAGGGCGAGGGGTCAAGGAATTCCCTGACATGTTTGGAAAGCACCAGAGTGGGCCTCTTACCATGGGGGACTGGTGAAGAAATGGGCATATGCAGAGGGGGGCAGGTAAAGAGATGGTGCATTGACCCAGGCAGATAGGCAGGTAGGTGACCCATTTATCAAGGTGGGGAATACCCGGCAAGGAACAGATTTTGAGGGGATCTTAAGTCCATCCTGGGCATGGTGGCTGGGAGATGTTCCTAGGTGATCCAAATGGAGATGTGGAGTAGGCACTTGGGCGATACTAGCCTGGAAGAGAGGGAGATGCCAGACCAGTGGTATCAGCTTGTGAGTCATTGTCACAGAGAAGGTGTCTGAACCTTCAAGCTGCAGGAGGTCACTCAGGGTGGGAATGGAAAGGGATGAAGAAACTGCCAGGGCTGGGGGGAAGAGGGCACAATCTTCCTGACCACTAACTCTTTTGCCCCCATCCTGGCAGAACTCCCACTTTGATGGGTAGTCAGTCCCCATATGTCTCTCTGATCTAATGGTGAGCACACAGTTCTATGAGGTTCTGTGCTGGAAGAGGTTTCCACAGTCACCCAAGGGGACATACGGGAAGAGATGGGAGATACAGGGCTGTGGCAGCCATCTTGCAACCATGAGGCAGGCTGAGAGTGCCCGAGCCACTCACAGAAGTAATGGTTCCTTCACTAAGCAAGCATTCAGATTAAGTTCGGGGCACCTTTATTAGGACTCTTTTGACAGGGGTTGAGTTGGGAAGTTCCATCACCCGAAGTCCAAAGTCTCCTCACTGATACCAGAGTGGAGATACCAGCAAAGGAGTCTGAACAAGGGTGTGTGAGGTGGGAGGAGAAGGAGGGGGGAGTGAGTATGCTACCTTACAATGATACCTACCATTCATGGAGCTCCCACGTGCCCAGGCCAGTTCTAACGTCTCACACACAGTAACTGGTTGTGTCCTCTTGAGTTAGGTTGCCATTATTATGTTATAGATTGGGAAACCAAGCCACAGGAGGCTGAGGGAACATATGGAAGGTCCCGTGGCCAGAAATTGACAACTGGGGGGGCACTAGTGGGTTAGGTCTCTGCCTTCTGCTCAGGTCATGGTCTCAGGGTCCTGAGAGCCCTGCATCAGGCTCTTTGCTTGGCGGGGAGTCTGCTTCCCCCTCTCTCTCTGCCTGCCTATCTGCCTACTTGTGATCTCTCTGTCAAATAAATAAAATCTTTAATACATATATATGAATATATATATATTTAAAATATATATTAAAATATATATTTAAGGGGCGCCTGGGTGGCTCAGTGGGTTAAGCCTCTGCCTTCGGCTCAGGTCATGATCCCAGGGTCCTGGGATCGAGCCCCGCATTGGGCTCTCTGCTCAGCGAGAAGCCTGCTTCCTCCTCTCTCTCTCTCTCTCTCTGCCTGCCTCTCTGCCTAATTATGATCTCTGTCTGTCAAATAAATAAATAAAATCTTTAAAAATATATATATATATATATTTAAAAAAATACTGTCTGGGATATAAGCCAGACAGTCTCCTGCTCTTTCCTGTGAGCCATTGACATCATTTTCAGAGGTCCAGATAAGAGGGTCTTGAGCTGAAATGGCTGACTGGCCCTTCAGTGCTACTAGCTTGAGTCTTCATTGAATTTGGCGAAGTACTGTCATCGGCAATATTGGGCAGCGTGGCCTGTGTGGGAAGAGTGTAGCCAGCCGGACTGGCCTGAATAGAGTGGAGAGCCCACACAAGTCAGCTCCTGAGAAGCCTGGCTATGGTGAGGGTAGAGGAGAGGTGTTTCATGGTTTTTGTTGGTGGTGGTTGTGTTTTGTTTTGAGGGGATTCTGGGACATATAGGAAGCAGGAAGAGGGGTTGCTCCAGAGCACTTGGGTGGGGCCTTGGATGGGGTCTGGAAGGCTCCCCTGTAGATCCAGTAGAGAAGGTAGAGACTTGGGGGCACAAGGCAACGCATGGGGTTTCAGGTTTGGTGATGAGCAGAGGCAGCGTCCTGCTTCTGCGATTTTCCTCCAGGAGGCTGAGAACCCCCGGCTCTGAAATGGGTGGGAGATTTGCGGCCAAAGAACGGCGCGGTTGTTGGGGTGCCAATGGAGTTGGGTCCCATTTGAGGTCAAAGCCCAGCAGTTTGGGGGCCAAGAGATTGTCAGTTTGGGTGGCTTTCTCTAGACTTGCCCATCCACCTGTGTGGGGCCCCACGGGGACGAGGAGCCAGGCCTGGTTGCGGTGGCTGCAGGAGAAGGTACCCAGGGGCTGGGCCGGGAGGCGCCAGGGCAACCAAGGGGCTGAAAAGTCGGGGTGGCCCCCGCTCACTACCCCAAAAGCCGGGTGAGGCGGCCCTCCATGCCTTCCCAGTGGCATCTTCCTGCCCGCGAGTCCTGCCAGCCCTTAAAGGACAGGAAGACCAACGCGGGGCGGAGGGCTTCCTACGGGGGTGCCCCTTCCCCCCGGCCCGGCTGGCCCCCGCGCGCCGATGCGGAGCAGGATTTCCCGCCGCCGCAGTTGGGGATTAGCGCGCGGGATTAGCCCGCGTGGACTCCGCGCTCGGCCCGGGGATTACAGCGCGCTCCCCCCCCCGACGTATATATTCCCGCGGCGGCGGCGGCCGGGCCCGGGCGGGCATGGCTGCGGCGGGGGGCGCAGCGAGCCGCAGGGGCCCCGGGCGGCCCTGCCCCTTCTCCATTGAGCACATCCTCTCCAGCCTGCCCGAGCGGAGCCCCCCGGCACGGGCCGCCCGCGCGCCGCCGGCCGCCGGCCGCCAGAGCCCCGCGGAGCCCGGGGAGCCCGGGGCGCCCGAGGCCGCTCCCTGCGCCTGCTGCTGCTGCTGCGGGCCCCGCGCGGCGCCCCGAGGGCCCCCGGAGCCGGCCGCCGGGCTGGGTGAGTGGGAGCCGGACGCGGGCGCGGGCTGGGGGGTGGTCCTCCAGGGCGCGGCGCGGTCGGGGCGGAGCTCTGCCCCCGCCCCGAGCCTCACCGAGCCCTCGCCCCGCAGGCGCGCGGCTGCCGTGGCCGCTGAGGCTGGGCCCCGCCGCGCCCTTGCCCTTGGCCGCGCCCACGGGAGGTTCGGGGGCGCTGCCGGGCGCGGGCGGCCCCGGGCCGCAGCGGCGCACGCGGCGCCACCGCACCATCTTCAGCGAGGAGCAGCTGCAGGCGCTGGAGGCGCTCTTCGTGCAGAACCAGTACCCCGACGTGGGCACGCGCGAGCGCCTGGCCGGCCGCATCCGCCTGCGCGAGGAGCGCGTGGAGGTGGGTGCCCGCCCGCCGCACGGCTACACGGGGCCGAGCGGGCTGGCTTCCTTCCTCCTTCTTTTTTGAAAAGATCGCCCTGGCGCAATGTCCCCAGAGGCCCAAGGACCAATGTGGGGCGCAGGGCCGGTTCCGGGGGGCGGGCGGGAACAGGCACGTGCGGGAAAGTGCCACTGGAACGGGAGGGGAGGCTAGTTTTCCTTTGGTTTACACTTTTTAAGTTTTCCCTGATACATGAGGCGCGCATTCATGCGCCAGACTTTAGGAAACTCGGAGAGAGCACGAAGCTGCAGAAGGGGCATCTGGAGCACCGCGGGGCGCAGGCTGGGGGTTGGAAGGGGTGAAGAGAGACGACTGGGCCGGGTGGGAAAAGTGGTTCTCGTCCCGCGGCCGGAGCCACAGCCCCCCCTCCGCAGCGGTTCAGAGATGGTGGGTGCCGCTGCCGCGTACCTAACCCGCAGCCCTTGTCTGCCCGCATCCCCGCTGGGAAGCTCCCGCCTGCTCCACCTATGGGGGTCCCGGGGGACGCGGGTCCTGGGGCTGGGCCTGAGCGGCCCCTCCTGCTCCTTAGGTCTGGTTCAAGAACCGCCGGGCCAAGTGGCGACACCAGAAGCGCACGTCAGCGACCTCGAGGCTCCTCCCCGGAGCCAAGAAGGCCCCCAAAGACAGCTCCTGATGGCCCTGGTAGCCATTCCTGGTCTTGTCCGCGTCTTCGGGGGGCCGACTAGGAGAGAGGACAGATCTACCCGAGAACGAGCTGAGAGAGGACACCAGCCTCTTCCCATCTGTCTGCAGGACTTCCGGCTTCTGGAGCTAGTGCTCAAGGCAGGAGCGGGCTGCTGAAGTGTGTGTCCCCCCACTCCCCATCTGCCTTGTCACCTGCCCCGGGGAAAGGAGGGAACACTGAGCATCTCCATGTGCTCTCCTCTGCAGTGACTAGGGTCGAGAAGATTCCCTGGGGGGCGGTGGGGCTGGGAGGAGGGTACAGAGCAGGTCTGCTTCCTCAAGTCCCCACCAACTCCAGGACAGGAACCATCCCTTGTCCGGGGGAGGAGGGGCCAGAATCTTCCTCTCCCTACCTGGGGTAGGCTGGCCTCCCTCCTCTCCTTTCCCTGCCTGGGCCATGGGAGGTTTCTGTGCATCCTGGACTTGCCAGCTTGTGCGCCCGGCACAGGGCCTTGGCGTCCAGAGCTGTAGAGTAAAAATGCCAGGTGAGGTCACCTCCAGAAGCCCCTGCCCCGCCCCTTAATTCTGTGAGCCTTGTCTGGGTCCTGGGAAATAAAGCAATAAAGCAACTGCAAAGAGCACAAAAGCCGACCAGAGTACGAAGCCCGCCACGGCCCTATTCCCCTCACCCAAGGAGTAGGGCCATCTCGCCTTGAAGAGCACAGCCTAGTGAGTCCTCTGTGTTCCCCAGCCACAGCAGACTACCCCACGGATCATGGCCTGGCACCCTGGGAAGTCTGCACTGGCTTCAAGGTACTGCTCATGGGTGGGGATTTCCATGTTGCGTGTCTGCCTCGCTCTCTGCCATCTTGTAGGGGCAAGAGGAAGTTTGATGGGGCCGATGCACCACACCCCCCTGCCAGTGCCTGGGACGATATCTGTTTTCCTCTCCATCATCCTGGCCCCAGGGTGAAAGATGGTGAGAAAATAAGGCTTTGATTCCTCCAATAGGGCCGTACGGTGGGCTCAAGGCATCGAACACCATCATCTGGCTTGGGGATCATGTTCTGTCTCCTTGTGGGTCCTGGAGGAGATGGGCCCCGGGGGCATCTGAAAGGAGACACAGTCCATTCATCAAAGGTGCAGAAGGCAGGTTTACCGCCCGCCAGGACTCTCCAAGGCTGGCTAGCTCAGATAACACAGAGCAGGCGTCTTGTCTCAGCCGGGGCTGCTCTCAACAATGCTGGGGGCCTCCAGGAGAGTGGCACCCCCCTCCACCCCTCAGGATGCACACTTCTAGGGGTCATAAAGCTCTTTGCCCTGGGATACTGCACAGTCTGCGTGCGGAGCATCTCTGCAGCCTGGGATGCCCTCATCTTGCTGGGCTCTGGGACCCTAGCCGCGAGCTGGCTCTTTGTCCTTGTAGGCAGCCACAGTCAGAGCCTCACCTTCAAGGGACCAGTGGGCATACCGTCCTCCTTTCTCTCCTTTCTCTCTAGCTGCTTCTTGGCAGGCTCACCCCTACAAGCTGCCCATTGGCAAAGCTGTCCTGCAGGCTGGGGCCCAGGCATGCCCCTCTCTTGTCCATTCTCCCCTTTATCATTTCCACCTTCGGGCTCCAATGCCTAGCTCTCTGCCACATTTACATCTCCAGCCCAGACCTCTTCCCTGAACTAGATATTACATCCAACTTGTCCCTTTGACTACTCCTCCTGGAAGCACACAGCATCTCAAAATCACCTTGTCGGTTGCAAACTCTTCCACCATGCAAACCTCCCTCCTCCTATCCCCTACCCACTGTACCCAGGCCAACAGTAAATCAATTTTTTTGTTTTATTTAAATTCAAATTAGTTAACATATAACAAATCAAATTTACCTTCAAAAACCATCCTAGAAGCTATCTTCTCCCCAGGTTCAACTGTAGCAACCTGAGGAAAAGGCTGCCTTCCCTCACCTTGACCACTGAAGCTGCCTCCAATCTTGTCCACATGCAGCCACTTTGGTTCCTCTGCAATTCCCTCCCCAGAAAAGGCAGGGTACAAGTGTGAACCTGCCTCTCTAAGGGCTTCTCATTGTTCCCAAAGACAAAACTCCTGGCCGTGACCCATGAGGCCCCTGCCCCTCTGGTGTCATCTCCCACCTCACCACTCCTTGAACTCTGTATATCCAAAGGTTTTCTCCCTCCTGCTGCAAGGCCTGTGCACCTGCTCTTTCCCTCCACCTGATCAGTGTCCATTCTCTGGATCTGCAACCACTTCCTGACCCCAGGGAAACTTCCCCTGACAGCCCCCTAGTACAAACTCTTTCTTTGTACCCGTTCACTGCAGTTTTATGTTTGTTTGTGGGATGATCTGACTAGTTCCTGTCTTCCCCATTCGACAGGACGTGGAGCTGTTAGCTCCACAGGCAAGAACCATCATTGTGGAAAAAAAAAAAAGAACCATCATTGTGGAGTTCCCCGCTGAATGAAAGAATGACTGGCCTATTGTACTCAATTGTTCTGGGGCAGAACTTGTTTGACATAATTCACAGCCTCTTTTAGGGAAGAAATGATCATGCCGGAAAAATGGTTGGGCAATTTTCTGGTCCATTTCAATGAGACCCCTCTTCTGGGAAACCCACTGTGGCGTCCAGAGACCAAATAATTTTTTTTTTTTAACCATTTTATTGAGGGGCTTCGGGGAAAGATCGAAGGGCAGGAGGACAGGGAGATCCGACGTCCTCGGCCTGGCCGGAATCTTTCCGGCCTCACAGTCGTCGAAAGGGACCGAATAATTTTTAACCAGACATTTCTAAATTAGACCTCATATTTTTTTTCTTTTATTAGGTGACTATCAAAAAGAAATTGTCTTAGCGTTTTTTCCTTGCATAAAAGTTTGAATAAAAATATTGAAACCGCGTATATAGCTAAAATGTGTTTTTGTTAATAACACGAAGCACACGCAATAATTCGCGAGAAACTGGAATCCCAAGGCCTTTAAATTTCGCAGTGCTAAAATTTTTCACGTTGAGCGTGAACGACACGCCCCTTAGTTTCGCCTACCACAGCGTCCCCTGGTGCCTGTAGTCCAGATTCGCAGGACCAGAGAGGGGAGCGACGAAGACTACAAATCCCATAAGGGCCAGGGACGGTAGTGACGCCACTACGGAGCGCGGGCTGGACTCCAAACGCGCGGCTCTCCCATTGGTGAACTTTGCAAGCGCCTGCGCATTTGGCACAGTCCCGCCCCTACCGTCTTCCGACGCTATTACGTACCTGCGCCGCCAGAGCGATCCTGGGATAGCGATGGAGACGCCCGGCGCATCAACCCGGGCTCTTTTGCTCCCAGCCGCGTCCGGGCCCGGTAGGAAGCGCGCGGCAGGAGAGGTACGGGCTGCGACAAGCAAGCAGCGGGTCCTGGATGAAGAAGAGTACATCGAGGTAAGGTCTATATGCGACGGTAGCGAATTCTGGGTCTCTCCCCCGCCTCGCGCTCTTCTTGGGTCCTGCCTCTCGGATCGTGGCACTCGTACTCTTGCGGAGGTGGAGCAACCCGAGTCCGTGCTCTTGGGGTGTGGACAGTCGGAGAGCCAAACAAATACAGTGCACAGAGAGGTGTCCTTGATGGTGGAGGCAGCATCGGTGTTGTTAGGAGCAAGAGAGGATGGCTTTGTTCGTCGAGGCGGGGGGTTTCAGGGAAACAAGGTATTTTATTAAAGCGTGAATGGGCATGTGGGAGGATGGTGGCAAAGAGAACTTTCTGGAGAGTCGTAACAGCAAATGCAGAGGCTGGAGGACTTGGAAACAGTCTGTTGTTGCGTCAGCACCATTGAATTAGTGGGCGTCGGAGGATCCTTGAAGTTGGTCTTAATACTGTAGCAGACATGCAGGAAGAGGAGCTGGCAGGGAGATTGGAGGAAATCAGTTTGGTTTTGGACTTGTTAAGTTTGGCAGGCCTCTGGGATAGAGAGGCAGATGGCATTAGTGGATAACTGGGTGCACAAATGTGCAGCTTAGGAGAAAGGTCTGGCTGGAGGTAGATTTGGGAATCTCAGCCAGTGCTGCTGGTGGGGGTGACAGGCTGAAATCATCCAGGTAAAGGGTTCTCGTTGGAAATAGGAGGCCTTGGATGGAATGAAGGGGCAACACCCACCTTGGTCCAGCTGGTATGGAGATGGAGCCAGCAGAAGAGATGAGAGTGACCAATTGTGGGAAAGAGAAAAGTTTCGTGGAAACCAGATGAACGTTTAGTTAGGTGTTGCATCAAAACTACAGGGGTTGCTCATCCTCATTAGAAAGTGCAGCTAAGGGACGCCTGGGTGGCTCAGTTGGTTGAGCAGCTGCCTTCAGCTCAGGTCATGATCCCAGCGTCCTGGGATCGAGTCCCACATCGGGCTCCTTGCTCATCAGGGAGCCTGCTTCTCCCTCTGCCTCTGCCTGCCATTCTGTCTGCCTGTGCTCACTCTCCCTCTCTCTCTCTGACAAATAAATAAAAATAAAAAATCTTTAAAAAAAAAAAAAAAAAAAAAAGAAAGTGCAGCTAAGCTCAGGGGATCCCTGGGTTGGACAGAGGTTGGGGGCCCGGCAAGGACTGTAGCATGTACATTGGTAGACTGAGGCAGAAGAGAGGCAGATGTGAACTCTGACATTTATTGACATCTGACAGGGGCTCCAGACAGTCATCCAGAGGGACTTCTTTCCTGATGTGGAGAAGCTGCAGGCTCAGAAGGAGTACCTGGAGGCTGAGGAGAATGGAGACCTGGAACGGATGCGTCAGATTGCCATCAAGTTTGGCTCTGCCCTGGGCAAGATGTCCCGAGAGCCCCCACCACCGTGTAAGGGTGACAGTGGTTGGCTGAGAGGGGAACTCCTGCTGAACTGATGCCTTAGGCTGGCTCTAATCCCCACCCCCTTTCTCCTTCTAGATGTGACTCCAGCCACATTTGAAACCCCTGATGTGCACACAGGCACTGGAGTGGTGGGCAACAAGGCCCGGGGCCGGGGCCGAGGCCTGGAGGAGGGTGATGGT